CTTAATCAAATATTGTAATACGAAATGTGAACACAGCTGTGAACACAAATTCATGGTTCCTGTATCCTCTGTAAGCTGTTGCAATGCTCTTGCTTCCCCAAAGGCCCGCTGGTGTTTCACGCGTTATGAGTGCTATCTCCGCGCTCGTAAAATTGCTGCATTTTAGGAAAAGACAATATCGTAAAAGTACATTGGATAAGAGAAACTCACATTGTCTCTAACACAGACGATAGGTATACAAATTTTGGTGGAAAATGGTATTGGAAACGGCACAATATATTGTCGAATTTATATACACAGGGATAAGAATTAAGGAACGAAATTACACGATTTGGTTTTCCATTTAACGCTTAGACAGATATATCTCATCTTAAAGATGTATTTTGCAGCGCCAAGTGTTGATTTTGTTGGTGAAAATAATGCACGCCATGTCGTTACTGAAAGCAGAGTGAAAGTGTTTCTCTTGCGGGAACAATAAACTTCAATTGTTTCTGACCTTTCCTCACGCCATAATGTCGATGTTTATCTATTTTCTTTTCTTTTTGGCCTCTTTTTATTTCCCCTCTGTCATATGAGACAATATTCATTTTCATTCATCATGTAAATAGAATGGAAGATAACAATGGCGACAGGAAAGACAGAAATCCGAACACATTCACGTGTCTCCTTAGTGGTGTTGAATGGAACACAGTCATGCGACGATTTTTTCTTCTTTCACTCTCTCTCCTCCTCCTTTCGCTCCTTGATATCCAGTGTGCTTTGATACATTATATTTATCTAATTGTACACTTTTCATGCTATATTCACGTTAGGTATTTCCCGAGAGACATCTAGTATACTAAAAAAATATAATGGCAAAATTAGTATAGTAAAGAATGTTGACAACATTAGTGTTAAAAAGATAATGCTAAAAATATAAAGATAAGTAGCTTTTCAAGAAGAAAATATGAATCCATTAGCTAATGGGAGAACCGCAATAAAGCTGTCAAAATAGATCGTACATATCCTAAACACTAACAACATATAACGACAATAATGATAATAATAGTCATGACATGTGTAAGAATAATCCTTAACAGGTATAATAATAAGGATGATATTCACACTAATGATAATTATTAAAATCATTCCAAACACTGATATGAAAAAGAGTTGATCATCATGAAAAGTTCATTCTTGAACGATTAGATTTTATTCCAGTATTAACAGGTATCAATTAATGAGGAAATTAAGAATAAGAATTGAATATACTAATTGCACCAACTGATAATAATTTGATAATAATGACAGGAAAGGAAAATAATAGTAATAATAGTACTAATAATGACGTTAATGATGAAACTGAGATGATGATAACGATATTAATGATCACAGTAATAATAACAATGATGTTGATAATGTTAACAATCTCAATAACAGTAACGATTATGATGATGATGATGATGGTGGTGATAATAATAATAATAATAATAATAATAATAATAATAATAATAATAATAATAATGATAATAATCATGTCACTATAACAAAAAATATAGTAACATTATGATAATAAAAAGATCAGATGACAATAATCTATGTCCAAGACGATTATCATACAAATAACGACAAGAATAATAAAAATCTATTGATAATCGACTTAACAACGATAATCGTGATAAAAATAGCGATAAAAAAATATTATGCAATAAGAAAATAAATGCAAATAAAAACGCCAAAGAACTGTTTTTCTCTTTCCCAAAGTAAAAAGCATTGCAGGTGATGTTGCAAATCCCAATAGTTTTCCTTCACAGCAACCCGAGCTGGTAAAAGTCGTCTGGAATTTCACAGTTGCAAGGTCGATTTTCATAATCATAAGGATGAAAATAATCTTTGAAATGTATATTTGACGTAATGAAAGTAACTGGTTCTTATTGCTGCGGTGGTTGATTTATGTCTAAATAGTGTGTTTAAAAGGAATTATGAGCTTTTTATTGTTTTCTTATTGGTATATTGCGCAATAATTACAAGTATGATAATTATTCAGTTATTAAGAAATCAACTAAAGCTGCTGGAATACGATTTGCATTACTTATTCTACAATTTATATTTCTTATAAGCTAAATGTAGGACTATAATAACTTTGTAATCTACCTATTTTATACTACACCTTCGCACCTGAAAATGCTGTGGAAAGTTAGCTCTTAGGAACAATTATGATTTAGTTAATGTCAGGAAGAATTTATAGCATTGCTTAACTTGCGTTAGGGTG